TTAGAAATGTGTACCATAATTGTACGCTAAGTACTAAATGGTGCCAAATTTGGCATTGGGCGAAGGGACAGAGATAAATTTCTGAAATTTGATATTTAGAATTGGCGGTGGTTTGGAAATTCGCCCAGTACTCTTTACGAAAAAAGCGGAAAAAATCAAGTCTGAAAGCTGCGTACGATGTCTGAAGTTTTGATTAAAAAATGTTGTTGAACTGTTCTGTTATGATTATGAAATATGTTGACCCGTTATGTGAAAGATATCGAAGACGTTATTCCACATCTGACCTAAGTCTAATAGAACAAGTTAAAAAGTTTCGGTCGGTTTTGCCGACAGATGTATACCCTCAGCCAATGTTCGATTATTTTAAAATCTTTTGACTTCTGGTTTGATTGATCAAATGTTTAAACCTTTATGCAGTTGGTTCCGAAGGAATAGGCCAATATTGACCATTTCGTGTCGGACCTAAATAAATATGATATAAATATTGCGACGTGCTAGGTTTGGACTGTGTTGTGTTAATGGAAATTTTGGGATGTACCAAGTCATGAATAGAATCGGATGTCAATTTAGCTTTTTTAAGCTTCATGGATTTTCAAAATTTTGAGCCTTTGTGGGGGAGGTACCAAAATGAGTGGACCGATATATCCCATGTTCACAACGGATCTTTTGTTAGTGGAAATAATGGGATGTGTGAAATATAAAGAGAGTCTGATTTCGGTTTTATAAATGTTTTGGTTATTCAAAACTTTGATCCCTTGTGGGGGAGATACCAGAAGGAGTGGACCGATATATTCCATCTTAACAGCAGATCTTTGGTTTAGGAAAATATTGGAATGTGTGAAATTTTAAGACAGTCGGATTCTAACATCACATTATATTTATTCAAAATGTTTACCCTTTGTGGGGGAGGTACTTGATGGAGTGGACCGATAATGTCCATTTTCACACCTGACCTAGCACTGACGCAAATATTAGGGTTTGCAAAGTTGGAGCAAAATCGGATTATCCTTCCTCTTTCTGTGCATAAAAAAATATATTTTTTTTTTTTTTTGAAAATTTCGACCTTTTGTGGGGGAGGTACTTGATGAAGTGGACCGATATTGTCCATTTTCACACCTGACCTAGCACTGACGTAAATATTAGGATATGCAAAGTTGGAAGAAAAGCGCATTATCAAATCGGATACTCCCTTCGAGAGTTATCGTGCGCACCAGCCAGCCAGACAGACAGACGGACGGACGGACGGACATCGCTAGATCGACTCCAAATGTTCTGAAACGGATTTGGTCCAAAGAGACCTAGGGTCTAAAACCGTTATTTCCATTAGACACGTTTTGACCGTATCAAATGATATATACCATCTGTAGCCATATGGCTGATGGAATATATGGAAACTTTTGTGAGAAACATCAGTAGTAGTGGGTCCCAACTAGATCTATGGTTGGTAGATGTATGAAGATTTCACGATTCAAAATGTTGACCGTTTCATTTTGGGAGGTGAGTGAACGTATTTCGTCCAAATTTTCAACTGACTTAAGGCTCATTCAAATATTAAGATGTGCAAAGCTTAACCGAAATTTGATACGCCTATTTTACGTTTATTTTATTTATTTATTTTTTTATTTTTTCGAAAAATTCGACCTTTTGTCCTTTCCATTGTATTAGAAATCCATTTTTAATAAGGATTTTCATGACGAAATTTAGTTCAGTATTTACTAGTCAGTCAGAATATAATGCCTCTACATTTTGCTTTGGAAACTAAGCTCTAAATTAAATTTATTTGTTAAAAATTTATCAAATATTCTAGAAAAAAAAAAAAAAAAAAACACATCCATAATTCATAAAACATTAAATGCTTCAACATTCTTTCCAACGAATCAAATCAATATTGCGCAGTGGGAAATTGTTAAAAAATTGATTTGAGTGAGTAGATTGTGTTTTTGTTGTTGTTGTAAACTGATAATTTGTACTTGTGCGATAAGTTTATGGCGGTATCTCGTGTGTTGAGGTTGTATTCTATTTTTATTAAACATTGAATTTCGTTTTCTTGTTAAAACGTTTCATTAATATTTTGCTCAGTGTTTCCACCACCACGTTTTGGCCATAAAAAACAAAATGTTAACAACAAGTTAGAGTATTAGTAGTTGTTGCAATCGTATTTGGTCAACATGTTAGCAATTATGTTTTATTCAATTGTTGTCCGTCATGAAATCATAGGCGAAATTTTAGATTACAAAAAAAAAAAATACATTTATTAAATTGTTAGTTTTTGGGGTTTCCATTAAATGAACCATATCCGCCTACAATTATAGAACAACATTTGAGTATTTTCTGAGAAATCTTCAGCTGTTTTTTTTTTGTTAATTTAGAAAAATGTGTCTGATTATCAGTGATGACCCCAAATGGACTCGATCGAAGAGTATTTATAAAATACATAGCAGGTCTATGAGATGTTCAATAAAAGATGTTAACCGGTCTCCTGCAGGAAGAAGTGTTAATATAAATTTTACAATATTTTCTAAAGGTATGTGTTTTCTGTGATATTTTTTGAGGCTTTCCATGTAAGAAAGAAAAATTAATATTAGGGTGGAGCGATTGGGAGCGTTGCGTTTCTGATTCTTGGGGTTGTACTGACCAAAAATAAAGTCCACTAGGTCATATGTGAATTTCGAGCCCGCCAAGGCAAGAACTTCCAAAATAAATAATCCAATGTTTTTGTAATATTTTAGAGAGTTCTTAATTATGGTCTTGGCGGTCTGATACTTTGTTAATGTTGTGTAAGCAAAAATATTTAATAAAAAAATCAGGTTTTACGAAGTCTAGGTCTTCGACCATAATGGTCTTGTTGGAAACGAGAAGTCACACAACCTAGATCCCTTTTTTACTATGTACTCCTTAGAAGTTATTGAAGAGGTCTTGAAAGAATAGAATATTTTCAGAAAGTCTTGTGTGGATAAAATACCTTCAACTACTCCTGGAATTGGGACTTTCGACTGATTTAAAAAATCGCCCACTACTCATTACAAATCTGCTTATAACCTGTTTCTGAGGTGTATCTGACATATGGATAATATTGTTATGGAGTGCATATTACGCATGCGCGGGACTTAAAACACCAAATGGGATGAAACATATATATATAGAGGCTATAGCTATATCTGAATCGATTTTCACCAGCATTAATGTACTTGATTCTAGACTGAATACGGTCGGATGTGCCAAAATGCAGGTCATTTGGACTGATATTGGCATTTGGTGCACAAAAACCTGAAATCGGATAAAGATATATATGGGAGCTATATCCCAATCTGAACCGATCTCGATAAAATTTGACACAGGTAATTTTGAGCTCTATAAGTTATCTGGTACCAAAGATCATTGTTGTGGAGTGCATATTACGCATGTGAAAGACTTAAAACCCCAAATCGGATGAAATATATATATGGGAGCTATAGCTATATCTCTACTTGGCTCTAGGATGAATTCTGACGGAATGGCCGAAATTCATTTCATCTCGGCTGATATAACCCATTTGGTGCACAATAAACATAATATCGGATAAAGATATATATATGGGAGCTATATCCAAATCTGATCCGATATGAAGCAATGAAAGTTCACAGAGGTTTTTCTGGGCTGTATCAGATATCTGGTACCAAAGATCATTGCTGCGGAGGGCATACTACGCATCTGAGGGACATAAAACCCCAAATCGGATGAAACATATATACAGGGTGAGATGAAAAATCTGCAACCAACTTCAGATTGCTGCCATTTCTAAACCACTCGCTCGACAGCTGTTAAAATTATTCGAACGACAGCTCATTATATTGTTTACAAGCGTACAAAAGCATTTTGGTGAGAATTTTCCAGAAAAAAAGTTATTTGTGATGGAATTCAAACGTGAAAGTGTGATTCGCAATATTCCATTCGGCAAATATCGAAAAATGAGCTCGGGCTAAAGCCATTGAAATTCCAAAAAGTGCAAGAACTTACACCGCAACGGAAAGAAAATAGACTCAAAAGAGCTAAAGAGTTGCTTCGCTTGGTCGAAGGTGGTGAACCGCCGAATTTGGTTTTCTCCAATGAGAAAACATTCGTTGTCCCGCAGTTTGTAAGCAAACAGAATGATTGTGTTTACTTGCCAAAGGGGTTAGCTGAAAATGTGCTACACCAGAACTCAAGCGCCGGCCATGGTGATGGCGTGGGCCGCCATAACAGCCGACGGTCGCTCTCCGCTCGTATTAATCGACCGTGGCTTCAGAATAAATACCGAATATTATCGCGAAAATATTCTGGAGGGTGTATTAAAGCCTTGGGAACGCAAACATTTTGGCCGGACACGCGCCACCTAAAAATGGTTACAAAATGAGGTTCCTCGCTTCATTTCCAGCGCACAATGGCCAACAAAATCTCCAATCTACCAATCCGTTGGACTATTGTGTCTGGAGTATTTTGGAAAGCAAGGTTGGCACTAAAAAATACCAAAGGGTCGATCACCTCAAGCAAGCGGCACGCCGGGAATGGGCCAAAATACCGCAGAGCAACATTCGGGCAGCGTGTGATGGTTCCATTGGCCGTTTGAAGGGCATAATTCGTGCCAAATTTAAAATTATTCTAAAATTTGATGCTATTTCCGACATTTTTTGCTTTCATTCAATAAAATTAAAAAAAAAAAATGTAAAAATTATGTCGTTTGACTTTGTTGCAGTTTTTTTTATCTCAACCTTGATATGAATGACTTCAGTGAGTATTAAATGGCCTCAAATAATCCTTTCCTGTCTCAAACAAATTCCTTTTTCATTTCTAATTTAATTTTTTTTTCTTCTTCCTGGGGAAATTTATTGCAATGTCTTTGTAGCAAAATAATTGCTACTAAAATTTATCTGCTAAACATTTTGAAGACAGCAAATTTCCTACATTTATTAGCCATAAATTCTTCAAAGAAAGCGAAACTTTTAAACGATTTTTTTTTTTTTGTTGGAAATTTTGCAACTTACCTTTAGTTCAGTTGAGGTTTTGAGCAGCAGCAGCAACAGCAGTCGCAAAGGAATTGTCCATTAATTGTGGCAAATGCTGTGAGATGTTGTCTGATGTAGATATGAATGCCACAATATGTGGCAATAAGGCACTTCAAAAAATAAAGACTTTGTTTGAAAATAAAAAACTAATAGCACGTGTTCGACAACGCAAGATCATTGGCAAAGCTGGACACAATTTATCTCTCTTTTGTTGTTGTTGTTGTTTTGCTTGGTGGAAAAGTTGATACGCACACCAGATGATCTTAAAGTTGGCTGCTGGGACTATTTTTATGATTTCCACACACGATTGCCAACAAGGAAAAAGAGGATCAATGTGATGACGATGGCCAACGGATATGTACAAATGTTTATGCAAAACCGAATAGTTAAATGAATTTTGTAAATAAATTTGTTGTTGTTATTACTAGTTTGACGTTGCAGCGATATCTTGTCTCGTCTCTGCCAATGCCTGGATGATTCCACGTTCCTAATGGTAATGATGATGTTTGCCAAGGAATGTTTTTTTTATAATTCCGTTTTTTATTGTTTGCCAAATGAAAGGCAAATAATATTGATGTTGTTATTGTTGTTTTATTTGTTGCTTTGTTAATAAATATTTAAAATATTGCCAACATTTATTTATTTCTTTTTTTTTTTTTTAAAAAAAAAAACGTGTATTACAAATTCACTTTAACACTCCACAAATGGGGAAATTTGAGCACAAAAACACTGACAAACAAAATTGAAAGGAATCTGAAAAGAAAAAAGAAGAAGAAGAAGAGAAAAGGATGTTATAATAGATTCGATTTCAAAAAATTAGGAATTTAAGAAAAAATACTATAGAAGCGATTTTTGAATAGGAGAGCCAACATTTGGCCACAACTCCATTTGCATATTGTAATTTTGGGTGAGGATAACTCTTGGTCCGAAAAAGTCAGATAAGGCTGGGTTTTTTGGAAATTCGTACTATAACGGTACGACTAGTATTAAAAGGTACTAACTCTTAATTTTGGAATGGGGTCACTGATGCAGTGTATGATAGATGTACCAACGGGTTCTTACAAATTCACACCATAAGTTTAGGAAAAGTACAAAAATGTACTAAATTTGGTACCAATTCGTATCATGTGAGCGGTTAGAGTTAAAAACTTGAAATTTGGAATGGGAATCAATGTTGAGGAGCAGAGTCCTGCACTCCATCAGTGACTCTCATTCCAAATTTCAGAAATCCAGCTCCGTCGGCTCGTCACAATTTCAATTTGTACCAAATTTAGTACCATTTGCTTCACATAAGTACGAATTTCCAATGATTAATTTATACCACAATCCTACACTCCCACAATTTTCTTAATTTAAAATTTCAGAATTCTACCCCTATCTGTTTTGGTACTCATGAATACAAAAAGTACTATAGGGTACTAAATTTAGTGCAACTTGAATTTGGAGGAACGAATGGAGCTGGCAACCTGAAATTTGAAATTAACATTATTGACGGTGTTTAGGTTTGGGATACGGAAGTAGTTTTCGAAATGTGTGCCCATGTGCACGAAAAGTATTAAATGGTACTAAATTTGGTACAATTTCGATTTGGGTGAACCGATAGAGCAGGAATTGTGAAATTTAGAAATAAGATTGCTATTGAATAGTAGGACTGAGGTAAGTAGGTAGTTTGAGAAATTCGTACAAATGTGTTCTAAATGGTACTAAATTTTGTACAATTTAAATTTTGGGTGAACTGGTAGAGTTAGAAATTTGATATTTGAAAATAAGATTTCTATTGGACTGTATTATGTAGGTAGTTATGAAAAATTTTACTTAAGTGTTAAAGGGTTAAACTTTGGTAATTCGTACTTATATGTACTAAATTTGATTTAGGTGAACAGATAGATAGTGGTGGAATCCTGAAATTTGGAATTTAGATTACGGTGGGAGTGTAGGATTGTGGTATAAATTAATCATTGTAAATTCGTACTTATGTGTACCAAATAGTACTAAATTTGATACAAATTGGAATTGGGAGGAACCGATGGTGCTGGAATTCTGAAATTTGGAATGAGAGTCGATCATGGAGCGCAGGATAAATGTACGAAAGGATTATTGGAAATTCGAACGTTAAGATTACGAAAAGTTCTAAAATATTGGCTTGGAAACGCGTCCTATATTTGTACGAAATGTACTAATGAAGAATACAGCTGGAATTCTCAAATTTGATATTGAGATCTCCGTTAGTATCTATAATTGAGAAGTGGAAGTGACTTTGGAAATCTTTTCTACAAGTGTACGAAAAGTGCTAAATAGTACTATTTTTGGTACAGTTTGCTATTGGGTGAACATATAGTGCTTGAAATCTGATATTTGGCATTAGGGTCGCTTTTCATGTATACCCTGGACATATAAAGGTGGTTTTCGAAAATGTGTACTTTAATTGTACGAAGAGTACTAAATTTGGTATTGGATGAAGGAATAGAACTGAAATTCCGAAATTTGATACTTAGATTTAGATTAGATATTAGATTGTGTTTGAAATTTGGCGGTGGCTTCGAAATGCGGCTATATTTGTACGATAAGTACTAAATGGTACTAAATTTGGTATTGAGTAAAGGAATAGAGCTGATATGCTGAAATTTGATAATGAGGTCTCTTTTGGAATCTGGAATTGAGATATAGAGATGGTTTTGGAAATGTGTACCATAACTGTACGAAAATTCATAAACTGTACCTTATTTGGTACTGGGTGAAAGGATAGGTCTGGAATACTCAAATTTGATATTGAAGTCTCTGTTGATATCTGGAATTGTAATATGGAGGTGGTTTTGAAAATATGTACTATAACTGTACGAAAAGTACTAAATGGTACTATATTTGGTATTGGGTGAAAGGATAGGGCTGGAATACTCAAATTTGATATTGAAGTCTTTGTTGGTATCTGTGTTGAGTTCTAGTAGTGGTTTTGCAAATGCGTACTATAATTATGCGAAATGTACTAAATAGTACTAAATTTAAATGTTGATGTCTAGGATAGAGAGATGAAGATTGTTTTGGATATGCGTACTAAATGCTTCTAAATTTGGAATTGGGTGAATGGATTGAGCTGAAATTTAGAAATTTTATATTGATGTTGCTGTTGGTTTCTAGATGGATCCGTTTTTCAATGGTTTTACTAATATCCTTCTCGGTAAACTTCAAAATTAATGATTCTGAAGATTTTTTCTGTAAAAGTTAAAGATTTTTCTATTATTCTTTCCGAAAAAGAAAAAACTTAAGTAATATATTAAACTTTGAAAGTCAAAAAATTAATTCATAGATTTAAAAATCTTGCTAAACTCCAATTTGGACTTTTCGGTGACGAAGTAGCGGCCACTTTCTAGTCCATCAATAAAAGACACACTGAAATCTTAAAATATCTTTTGAAGGTCTTGTAGGGATGGGACTTCTAAAGACCATTTGAAGGGATCCTAAAGGCAGATGATCGTTTAAAAATCTTAAAAAATTAATCAAAAAAAATTATAAATAGGTAGCATATATTGCGGATGAAAAAACACTCTTGAAAGTCTTCTATAAACAAAAAAACACTTGAAGGTCTTTTATGGGCTTTGTATGCCTTCCACCATCTGAAAATTTGATTTGCTCTCCTCAAAATACATAAAATGTAGAATCTCCGTTATAAAGGGGGTTAATCTGTACTAAAAAAATATTGGCAGAAGTTAAATTACCCTCTGAGAACCCGAAATTGAAATTATATCTGAAATTGAAGCAGAAACAAAAAACCAGGAAACACAGTTATATACGGGACCTATGCCAAAAATTTGACCTGCATTGTATATTTCCTGTGAGAAATTGAACTAAGCACTGAGAAACCCAAATGACAAATTGCAGCTAATTTGGTTCCAAAGTGGTTCAGATACTTTCAAAATACCGAATCAGGTCGGAATACTCCAAAAAGTTGACCTACATCCAATATTTTCTTCGAGAAGCTAAGAAGAATAATTTACGGCAGATTTAGTCGAAATTTGGGACCAAACCGGAAAATCAGTGTTTGCCGTTACAAGGAGTAGTAGGAGTAAAATGAAAGTGGTTTGGGTCTTTGCTACTACAATTTACAATTTATTTCCATGCAAATATTTTCGAGAGATTTCCTCTGACATTTCCGAATTACCTCACAATTGAGATTTGTATTAACTTATGATGATTTTCATTTCCTTCAGAAATGTTGATAAGCAATTGAATCATAATCTGGACATTACAAAGTTGCAAAGATTGTTATACTTCAGAGGAAATATTATGCCAGCCACCCACCCACACACACACACATTTACTGTCTGGCATTCATTTTCAGCGGCTCATGACAAGTCCATAAATTATGATCCAAAGTGCTGGGGTAGAAAATAAAGGAAATCAATAACAAACGAACAAACAACAAATACAAACTCATTAAAATAGCCAATGGCCAGAAAAAATGTAAGCTTTTCATTTTCCGTTGTTTCTTTTTTCTGGGAAATCTCAACTACGCTCTTGGTATTTCCTTAAGCCAAACTATAAATTTGAATGTAACGCACTTAGCCAACGACAGACAATGGACCGGGACCACCTTAGGCAACTCTTTTTCTTTTTGTGATTACAACAACATTTAATGGAAATTAGTTTAGGTTTTCATCAATTTTATTTACACTAAAAATCTCGGCATCCTCTTCGTCCTCCTCCGTTCTCTGTCATTGATTTGTTTGTTTATCCAATTGATTGGTAGGTGGCTCTATCGATCAACTCTGGCCATAACAATTTGACACAACAACTAAACCAGGAGGTTAGTTGCATGCAACAAAGTTCGAATGATGAGAAACGGGTGGGGAGAAGAAGCCGAAGACGTTGAAGAAATGAAAGAAAAATCGCCAATAAGATCATTGAAGTCATTTCAAATTGCATTTCATAATGAAAAATTATTATGAGACGATTGGCAAAAAAGCCACAGCTATAAGATGTTGTTGTTGCTGGCTATATTAGAAAATATGAGACAATAGCCATCATCATCATCATCATCGAGCAACAACAACAGGATCGCAAAATATTGGCACAACATCAAAATAATATTTATTACCGTTATTAACCTTTTCGAACTCTCACTCGTCAGATCACTTACCGGCCAAAAACAAAAAAAAAGCAAAACAGGGCGACGACAATCATAATAGACATCAATGATGACGATGATGGTGGTGGTGGCGAAGACCACTACAGACCCCCAACCTACCAGTCAACCACAAAGAAAGGCGTCAAGACCACAACACAGACTGTGGTAGCAGGAAATAAATATGAGAATGCATCTTCTTTTTAATAAAAAATAGCTAAGTATGAAAAGAAGCGAATCAGATATTCATCAGAATGACGTCGAAGGGTTCAAAAATATAGACTTGGTTCTAAAGATTATCTTGATCGCAGATTTTAAATTTCACACGAGAAAACCTTCACAACTGTCTTACTTATTTGGGCGCTTAGTGCTTTGTGATCATGGTATGCATAAATTAAAATCCTGGCATATAGCCTGACTTTAGAAACATTTGTTAGTTTCAATTCAGCGAAATAACAAAAGGATTTCTGAGCTCATATTTTTATAACCTCAGTCGATTTGATCTAACTTAGATCGAGTTCCCAGAG